AGTAAATCCTTCCATTGAGAAAACCGAGGTATATGAAATTGAGATTGGAGCCTTTATTATGCTGACTATTCCCTGCTATTGCTAGGCACAAAGAAAGTACTTGATAAATATTTGTCCAACAAATGAATGAGTGAAAATGATCTTTTTTACCCACTAATTAAAAGGAGTGACTGTGTAAATGTTGGTAAGGTTGAGTTCCGAGAGGCTCAGTGCTGGAGGCATTATTCAGACCCCACAGGGCCCTTCTGTTTACTCTTTCTCTCTCCATTGCATTGTCAGCAGCTGTATTCTGCCTTCTTGGAGGCTCAGTGGAGACCCTTTTCTAGTGTGTGGGGCCTGCCGCTGAAGTAGTGACCTCGGACGCTACCCTCACCACGAAGCTGTTGAACATGAATAGGCAGTCAGGAAAACACCAATTTCACCAACATGCCATAAGTGGTTGCAGGGAGCAGCACAGGACTTTGGTATCATCCAGAGGGGCTATAATTCAGTCAGGGGACTGTGAGACAGTTACTTGGAGGTACAGACACTTCAGGTGAAATCTGATGGATGGGTGGGGGTTCAGGTGGAAGAGAAAGGGATGTGGTTTTAGGTGAATTTCCCAGGTGGAAGGAGCAGCATTGCAAAGGTCCTGAGGTAGGAGAAAGCATGGGGTTTCTGGTATGGATGGAGTGAAAAATACCTAGTTTCTCCTACCTGTTGGGGCCAGCCTCTGGACTACCTGCTTCTAAGATTTTAACTTCTTTTGTCTTCATAGCACCTTGGTGCTGTTGTTACCTAGCAATGAGAAGGCAGGCTCAGGAAAGTTGACAGAGTTGCCCAAAGTAACAGTCCATGAATGGCATGCTGGGAACCAAGCCAAGATGGCCACTTACCCTAAGTCCTCTCACCCTAATCCTGCAACCTATGCCTGCCATGTCCTTGGAAATCCCCCTGCTGGGCCAGGGTTCTCATCTTGGCTCATCTAACTCTTTCACCAAGTGACCGTGGGGGAAGTCCTCACAAGTGTGGGAATCCCATGTAGCTGGAGAGCACTGGAAAGTCCAGTGTGTCCCTATAACCTGCAAGGACAGGGACAACCTCTCCTGGTTCCATGGTGGACACCAGGGCTCAATGTCATGGAAACAGATTTGCCTGAGGCGCCAGGCTCTGTGGTTTTAGAGCTTGGCTAGATCATTGGGGTCTGGTTCCACAGCAGGACCACTGGGTGATGTATTTTGTTCAACCTCAGAAGTGGTTTTCATAATTTAATTCCTACATGCAAACATCAAGAGATCTCACATGAAAATCCACATTTCCAACCTCTCTACAAAATTAAAAAATTAAAAAATAATCCCAAGCAGCAATACTGCGGCTTCTTGTTGCCCAATTCCCAGGGGCCACCCCTCTCATAGAGTTGTGCCCTCGGGCTTCTGAGTTGGAAGCTTCTGATGAGTTTTATTGTATTTGAGTTGGACCATTTCAGCACAGGCTGTGATGTGTTCAGGTTTTCATCTCAGAAAAGGACCCGTAAACAAATCCTGGGCACTGCGCCCTGTCAGACTGTTTTTACAGGTGTTGTGGGAATCGGAGTGGTTGAATTTCTGTGCCCTGCATTGTTTTCAGTGATTTGTGCTTAGCAATGAAACCATCACCTGGCTGCTGCCAGACTGCATGGCTGGAAACTCGGCAAAACTCCTGACTTGGGTTTGAGAAGTGAGGTCTGCAGGGGACTGTCACTTGCTTCTTTTCACCTGTGGCCTTATGTGTGTGTCTTCTGCATTTCAAAGTCTTAATTTAAGAGCCTCAACCAGACGGTCCAGGAAGCCAGTCCCTTTCTGGCACGTATTGCAGTTATAATTAGATCCTGATTCGTGTACTCTGTTACCTTCCCTGCCCCCGCAGTGGAGTGGGGCCATGGGACCAGTTCTGGCCAGTGGGCTGTGAGCAGAGGGGGTGTGTGTCATCTCTAGGCACAAGGGTGGGAAAACCAGTGGGAGCTCTTTGGCTACATTTTTGCAACTCTATAGAATGTGAGGACCTTGTGTTGAAAATATGGAATCAGAGTGTCATTTTAACCTGGATTTTTGAGTTATCTGAACCCAAATTGTGAAATAGAAATAAATTTTGGTGTATTAAACCTTTGAAATTCTTGGGCATGTTTGTTACTGCAGCATAACATAACTGAAGCTGACCAGTACATTCTCCATTTGATTTGATGAATAGGGATTGCACATCCACATCTATAGAAGCTTTTGTCATTAGTCTGTTTATCTGTCATTAACCGATACATGATTCTTAACTATCGTTTTCTTAAGTAAAACTGGAAATATGCTGGTGAAAGTTTTTGAACTATCCCCTCCCCCTCCCATCCTCTCCTCCTCCTCATACACTTTCTCTCCCTTTTTCCTCCCCCACCTCTTTTTTCTATATTTCTTGATTTTTGTTAGGTTCTTTGCATCCCTACGTACATTTTAGAATCAGCATACACATTTCAATTTAAAAAAAAAAGTCTAGATTTTAAAATGGTATTCTGGGGAATCCATACACCAATTTGGGGGAGAATTAAAACCTCAATCAAGAACAAGAGTCATTTTTCAATTTATATAAATATTTTTCAGTCTGCCTATTCATATTGTTGTGTTTGGTGTAGAAGTCCTGTTCATCTTTGGTTATATTTATTCTCAGATTTAAAACACATTTAATTCTATGGTGAATAATAATGCCTTTTAAATTTCTTTTTCTTTTGTTTGATGCCAGTGCAGCATATGTGTAGAAGGATGTCACAGGCTAACTTCCACCCATCTGAACCTTGCCCATGACATAGTATATCTGTGCAAATTTGTAGGAAAAAGCCTGGAACTGTGTACAGTGGTAACATCTTGATGGGGACGGGGCAAGGGAGCAGAAGAAACTGGGATTTGTGGGGAAAGGTGGTCTTCAAGAGGGACTTAAGCCTTGTCTGTCATTTTTTAAATTAATTTTCAATTTTTTTTACATCATTGTTCCTTTTTTTTCTTTTTTAAAAGGTTAACAAAAGGTTTATTTACAAGGGAAGGGAATGAGGAAATGTACAACTCAGGGAGAAAAGAAGGAGATAAATTCTTAAATGTGTTCTACCCGTTCTGCCAACCTGGAATCCCAAATGACCTGCCAAGTCCAAACCTGCCTGGCCAAGAGCACCAGCCAAGTGTGCCTGATCCCACTAACATGGATGGTTTTTATTTACAAACAGAGAAAATGGCTCCTTAACTCCACCCTTAGGTCCTCGCAACTTCCCCTTGGGGATCCTGGGATTTGTAGTTCCCCATGTCTTGGTGGAGTAGGGATGGCATCCACAAAGTCTGTATGGAATTAGCTCTGGACATCCTTTCCCCCTAACAATTACCCCCTTTCACTTTTTGCCACCATTTCCATGGTGTTGTCTGTCATGTTATAATTCTTGTAAAGGGGTTCATTTTAATGCATTACTTGTATAATTAAAAAATCTATTAAGAGAAAAGCATAAGTCAATGACCTACCCCAAAGCCTGGCTGGGGGATGGTTATGACTGATGAGTTTGGGGAGGCCAGAGACTCCCCCCAATCTGTGTGAGAAAGTTGCCTGGCTCGACATTGTGAGTGAAAGCAGGAAAATGTGATCAATTGGGTTGTCCTCTGAAGAAAGACTGTGTTAACTGAGAATCCATAGAAGCAAACCCAGGGAGACTGAGTAATCAGTGATTGTTTCTCGAATTGTCCAGAAAGAGAGGTTCTAGACCTATAAGGAGAACGTGCCTGTGCTTCAGACAAATCCCTGCAGTGGAGGGGCTCAGCGTGATGCTCTCCCAACAGACTTAGAATCAAGGACACCCTAAATTTCTGTCTCAGGATCTCCCTGCCCCCACGCAGGCCCTGAGACAAGGATTTGAGTGTCAGGAAGTTTTTCAGCAGGTGATACTACAAAGCAGTAGCAAAGGAGGGAAACGAGACGGAGAAGGGCAGTAATGGCAGGTAGTGCTGAGAGCAACTAGGCTCAGTCTTGTGAGGACCTGGGAGGCTGTGTAGTGCATGCTTGGAAATCACACGTGGGGTTCAAAGTCATGTGGGTGAGGAAATGTGCATCCTTCACTCATACCAGTCTTCAGTGGCCCAGCGTGCTCTGGGGGCATCTTCTTGCTGACACTTCTGACTTGCTCCACTCACTGGCTCAGCATGCTTCCACAGCCAGAGAAAGCCCTGGCAAAGAGCAAAAGGCACTTACAGAAGTTTTTAACT